TGGCGAGCTGTTGCTTTGCTTTTCTGGTGAATGTCGGCTTGCAGACGAAGTTGGGTCGTCAGGCGGGCTTGGTGAAATCCACCTGTTTGAGCATGCAGGCGAGCTTGGGCTATCAGGCGAGCCTGATGAAGTTTGCTTGTTTTTTGAATTTCGCCTAAACTGCAAAGTTCACCATACTTACGAAGTTGGCTAGATTTGGGAACCTTGCCTGAAGATTGGAGTCCGCCTGAGTAGGTGGGCTCGGTTGATTTGAGCGGTTCGTCAAAATTGGGAACCTTGCTCGTAGAGCAAAGCTTGTGGGGCTCTCCTGAACTACTAGGCTTGTTGAAAATATCAAGTTCGCTAATTTTGGGAACTTTTCCAACAGAGCAAATCCCACCTGAGTAGGTGGGCTCACCTGATCGGTTCAGTTCGCCAAAATTAGGAACCTTGTGTTTTGGATTAGCTCTTTTAGAGAGGGGAGTGTTCATGTTAACAGCGAAGGTGGGGTCCGCGCTGACATGAACCGCCGTCTCCTCTTGCATGGGGGCCTGCAAGAATCATTCAACGACCCCCCGTGTAGCCCTTGAACTTGCATCCTTTGTCTTTGGCTCAGCCGTGATGGGCTTGTGGGAGATAGAACCCCATGTGTTTGCTCGGGTAGAGTTCTCCGGCGTGGTTGCCTTGGCCACTTGGGGCTGGACCACACGCGCAACTCTGTAGCACTTGTGAGACATATTACCGCCAGAAGAGGATGAAGATAAGTACTCCTTGAACTCGATCATGAGGGACTCAACAATAGTCCCTGCCACAATTTCGTCGAACCGCGCTACCACCATTTCGATTCAAGAAATGGTTACTCCCATTATGGTCGCCATCTTCTGTAGGTGTCAAATTTGATTTCCCAAAATAAGGGTTTTATTTGTATTGATAAGAATAGCTTATTACAAACTAATGATCAAATATTTACAACAGAAGCGGAGGAAAGACCCTCCTTGTTTAACATGGGGACTTTGGTAGCGATAGGACACCTCGCTCAGTTCTCGCATCGAGTTTGTTTCCCTTGGACGATTCAATCGAGGTTGCAGGTGAGCTTCAATGCACAGTAGAAGCTCTTGTTGGTCGAGTTCGAGTATCCGAGCATGATGGCGATAGAGGCCGAAAGCTGGAAGAAGTTGCTACAGTGCAAGAACAATGCAAAGAGCCAGACTCGATTCTCTTAGAGCTTAAGAGAACTATTTGCCAAGGAGCCAAATAGGTTCCATCTTGATCAAGAGTTTAAGACCTCTCTTTTGATAGCCATCATTGGCTATTTATAGTGGAGGAGAAGCATGGTCACTCCCCTTAAATTGTGGGATTGTGGTTGAGGGGGACCATAACTCCATCCCTTAAATCTTAGGATGTGACCATTAGAGGTTGAGGGGGACCATAACTCCATCCCTTAAATCTTAGGATGTGACCATTAGAGGTGAGGAGAACCATACTTCATCCCTTAGATCATGGGGAGTGGGTGTACCCACTCCCACGTTTTAAGCTCAAGTGGCTGACTTGGTCCAGCTGTACAGGCGAGATTGTCATTATAGGTGAGCTTGGGCTGTCAAGAGAGCTGGAGAGCTTTCAGGCGAGCAGGCGAGTCTGCAGGCGAGCTTGGGTCATACAAGCGAGCTTCTAGATGTCCGGCGAGCTATCCTTGTGCAGGCGAATTTCAAGCATGCAGGCGAGCCTGTGTAGGCGATTTTCAAGCATGTAGGCGAGGCTATGTAGGCTAATTTCAAGCATACAGGTGAGGCTGTACAGGTGAGGTTGTGTAGGCGAGTTTCAAGCATGAAGGCAAGGCTGTATAGACGAGGCTGTGTAGGTGAGCTAGCCTCATTCAGGCGAGCTAAACTCCATTGTAGGCGAGCTTCAGAACATCCTACGAAGAACAGGTCATAACTTTCAAACCGTAAGTCGGAATTGGACGAATTATATATGAAAATTGACTAACTCGACGAGACGGAGCTGACCAAACCTACCCTATAGGGTTCCGTTTGCTCCTGTCCATTTTGCCAAATTCCTTCTAGTTTGAGAGATATCAGCGTTTTCCCCTTTTTTGTTATTTCGGGCGAGGTTTTAGCAGTCTTGTTCTGAACTTCTCTAATAGGGATTAAAGGTAATTTTTATTGGCTATAGTCACGGTCTTGAGTCCTCACTAGTAAGAATATAGTGGACAATTTAGTACATATCATATTTCATCCGTAAGACTATAAATAAGTTCTTATACTATTATTTTAATAACTATGTTTTAGTTCCTATTTTTCGATATATTGTTTTGATTTTAACCTTAGATTTCCTCTTGATCCTTGCTTTCCTTCAGAACCATGGTGGGTATGCGTGGCTATGGGAACCCGTCTGGTAGCAGTGCCCCGCCGCCCTTCGTCGGCAGTCGATAGCCGGCCAGACGACACCGACGCACCTCTCTCCACTCTGTCCCCTTCGAGCCACCACCTGCCAAACCAACCTCCCCCGCACAGCACACCAGCTTCTCGACCGTCGAGATCCCGCGCTACTGCCTCACGAACTCCAGCAGCATCTCTGCCTAACCCCGTAGCCCTGCGCTTCGTCGCCGAGCCCACCAGACCCGAGCTCCCTCTAACTTGTCGCCGTCATCGTTCATATCCTCGTCGCTGTTTAGATCTGTCGCCTTCAGCGCTGACGCGTCGCACCGACAGCGTCGATCCGTTCGACGAAACCCTGAGGCAAGATCCCTCTTGCCTGTTGTCTCGTTAACTTAATTTTTTATCTTTTATGAATTTATTACGTATATGCGTAGATTAGTTTGTGCTGATATGATATTAATTGTGTGGTTGTTGATAATATTGCGGTGAATATATTCTGTGAAACGATGCTATAAATGATGAATAAGTATGTCAAAAAAATAGTTTATGGTTAATTTCGTGTTGTTTGAATGGAAGAATATATTTATAGAGTATTTTTAAAATTATTTATAATGAGGAAAATATTTTAAAAGAAATTATTTTGAGAAAATAATTTATTTTGGATAAGGAGTATTTTTAAATAATTGTTATGATTAAAAGAATTTTATTTTGAGAAAAAGAGTATTTTAGATTATTTTATAAAATATCATAAAAATCATTTATAAAATTAAAAAGTATTATTGTTCATAAATAATAATAAAATATATTTTAAGAAGATTATTTTAGAATTTTTTATAATGAGAGATAATTTTAAAGGAAATTATTCTTGGAATTAATAACTGAGATTTCGATTTTCGTGTGCAAAACATCTGTTAATAGTAGTTTCATCTTGCATTGTTAATAGTAGCTTTACTCTCATATGTTTCTTGCATGTTATCACGACCCCTATTCACGCTTCATGACATTGACACTTAGCGTAATTGCATTTATTATTCCATGTTGAGAATCATGAGAAGTACATGACTATAGTGACCTGTATGACACAGTTAAGATCTAGAACCTTATGTATAGTTGACCTAGAATTAGGAGAATTGGGGTGAGAAATCTTGGTCCATGTGAGCAGTTGGGATTGTTGATGTATTTTCCAGGCTCGTGCCGGTGAAGTTTGTGTAGTCACCGGGGTGGGTCTGAGGAGTTGAAATATTTATGCTTGTGGTTGTATTCCGGGCTCACGCCGGTGAAGTTTGTGTAGTCACCAGGGTGGGTCTGAGGAGTTAAGATATTATGATTGTGGTTGTATTCCGGGCTCGCACCGATGAAGTTTGTGTAGTCACCGGGGTGGGTCTAAGGAGTTGGGATATTTATGATTTATGATCAGTCAGTTATTCGATGATATGAGCGTTGACTCTGTGTGAGTTGTGAACCAGTGACCTGTTATAAGATGACTAGTTACATGACATTATTACTTAAGGTGATTATGGATTCTTGTGAGAGGTAGGCCAGTTGTATTTCTTTTCATACATAGATAGGGATTAATATTTAATTATCTACAATTTGAGGCATATGGTATATACATGAGGGTTTCCTTGTTTGGATTATTTTGCTCGACGTACTACATCTCATGTTGTAGATTTTTAAGTATTAACTCCATCTAGTTGTATGACCTTGTTATGTGGATGATTATAGGATGGCTAGCTGCATGATCTTGTTACTCGGATGTTATGAATCCTTCTGATTGTTATACTCTAGTAGCCGATTGTATCTAGATTGTTAGTATTCTAGTTGCATGCTCCTATTGTTGCTATTATCATTACATGATCCTATTTCTGTTATCGCATTGGTCACTCTTCTATTACCATCACTGCTGTTGCATTTGTTATTGCCTTGGTCATTCGACCGTTTCTTTCTCCCTTGTAGGATCTTGCCGTGTGCCATGCACGCTGACATACACCTGTTTTCTTTGGTGTACGTCAGATTTAGGAGACAGTCGCCCTTAGCTCGGAATCGTACAGGAGCCAGAGGATTCGCAGTATGAGTGCCTTGCAGATGGAGTAGAAGAACAAGCTGAAGCGTAGTAGTTTTCTTCCATAGTAGTTGTGAAACATTATAACTCTTTATCATATTTTTTCCCTAGTTTGGTAATGGATTTTCATACTTTTAGTAGTATTTTCTTTTATTATGGACTATGTATTTTTATTCCTAGTTGAACTGTTGTAATAAGGGTACGTTGGACCCCTATTTTTATGTCTGGGATGATCTGCTTGATGATATGTTTATGTTTATTTCTTATTCTGAGTTGTCTTTATATTCTTTCTATTGTGATCGGGGACCTGTGATTGAGATTTTTGTATTTGACGCTTAGCGTATTAGATTGAGAAGAAAAGAAAAAATTAATAGTGTGTATTTCTTCTCAATCTAATACGTCACGGTCTTGTTCACGTCCCGATTACCGATGCCCCACAGCCCGAAGTGGACCCGAACCAACTTATGGTGATGATTCAGGGATTGGTCACTAATCAGCAGCACCTGGCTGGGCAGCTATAGCGGGAGCCTCAGCACCAACCTCCCCCTCGTCCAGAGTCTAGTGTTAGGGAGTTCCAGTACATGCGACCGCCTTCCTTCTCTGGTGCTGAAGGACCCTTAGCAGCGGAGGAGTTCTTGAAGGTCACTAAGACTATCCTCACGGTGATCCATATTGCCCCTACTGAATGGGTGGATCTCATGGATATTTAGCTCACTGATACCGTTCGGATATGGTGGGCAGCTGATAAGACCCACCTTAAGAGGCCAATCCTATGGGAGACGTTCACCAAGCACTTCAACAGGAAGTATTTTCCTCAGTTGGCTCGGGACAAACTCCTACGTAGATTTGTTGACCTCAAGCAGGGAGGCCGATCAGTTAATGAGTATGAGGCTGAGTTCTCTTCCCTGAGTCGATATGCTCCTCATCTGGTTACAGACCCTACTATTAGGAGGCATCAGTTTGAGAAGGGCCTGGATAAGTATATCAGGTTTGGTCTGGCTGCTAGAGCACTTGCAATGCACGATGCAGTACTGGATACAACACGTGAGATTGAGAGCGTGCTGAAGGAACCTGAAGATCCACATGTGATTCATAGCAGGGCACCTGTAGTTCCAGCTAGGACTGTTGAGCGTCCTTCTCCGAGGTAGCAGCAACAGGCCTCGCAGAGGCAGTAGCATTCTTAGCATCAACCATTTCATTAGGCTCATCCTTATCAACGTCCTAGAGTGCAGTCTCAGAGCCAGTCTTTGGTGCAGTGTTCCTATTGTAGCTACCCTAGACATACCCAGCAGGAGTGTCCTAGACATCTTCGTCTGTGCTACAACTGTGGGTCCCCGACCATGTCAACCGGGACTGTCCGTAGCGGCAGTAGGCCAGCTTGCCCCCACTTCTAGTTCGAGCAGCTCTTCCAGCTCTCCCTCGATCAGCCTCAGCAGCTCCAGCTCAGCACGGAACCTACCCTCGATCGGGCCCTCTTCCTCTACAGAGAAAAGTTTATCAGGAAGCGCAAAGGCAGTAACCACCTCGTCAGATGTTTATGATGTCAGCTATGGAAGCTGAGGCAAACAACCAAGTTATCACCAGGAAGAATAGTTCATTCTTAGTTTTATTTGCATATGAACTTCCTTATTTCACATCGTCTTATGATATTATGATAGGATTTGTTTATAAGTGCTAGCTTAGATGTATTTTCCTTCTACACTATAGCTCAGCTTTATCCTTCATAGGGTGAACCGCTAGAAGATCACAACTTGCATGTCCTTTGATCGACTTCTGTTGTTTGAAGTGGATGTCATACTGCAATAGAAACAAAGCCCACCTTGCTAACCGCCAATTCATAGAAGCTGGTTACGTCATGAAAACCCGGATTGGGTTGACGTTGAAAATAACGTAAATTGTCTGTCCAACCAGTTAGTGTCGCATTTTTTGGATTGCAAACACTAGGGAAAGTCACTCTTTCTCGATCATTGGATATCGAGACTCAGCGTTACCAATGTTCAGCTCAAATAATAAACCTCCTGCTCGTGACCGTTATCATCGTCTTGTGCTAGTAGAGCCCTTAACAAATGTTTTGTTGCCTTGACATAAAATCAGGAATGGTTTTCCTAACTTTAGTACGACAAGAACAGGAGGATTTGACAGGTATACCTTAATGTATTTGAATGACTTCTGACAAGCGTCATCCCAAACAAATATTATACCTTTCTTCATGAGCTTAGAGAATGGTTGACACTTTCTCGCAAGGTTCAAAATGAAGCGGTGGATGTAGGCAAGTCGTCTTTGTAACCCTCTGAGTTCTTTGAGATTTCTCGGACGCTATAATTCATGGATCGTCTCCACTTTATCAGGATCAATGTGGATACCTTTCATGGTGATGACGAATCTGAGGAATTTGCCACTGGACATTCCTAGGAAAGACTTGGTAGGGTTCATCTTCAATTGGTGACTACGCATGAGATTGAACATTATTTTCAAGTCTTTAATATGGTCGTTCTTGCCACGACTTTTAACGACCAAGTCATCTACGTAGTATTCGACGGTTTTTCGGAGATGCTCTTAGAAAATCTTCGCCATGACTCGTTGATACGTAGCACCCACATTTTTAAGACCGAAAGGCATGACTGTGTAGTAGAAGATACCAAGCGATGTTCTGAATGAAGTGTGCTTTTCGTCGTCAGTATACATTTTTAATTTGGTTGTATCTTGAGAATCCAATCATGAAGGACATCCTCTCAAATCCACACGTATTGTCTACAATGACATCCATAATAGAAAGAGGGAAGTCATCTTTTGGGCAGGCGGTATTCAGATCTCTAAAGTCGATGCAGATTCTAATTTTTTCATTCTTTTTAAGAACCGGGATAATATTCGCCACCCAATCAGGATGTTGCTCTTCTCTGATGAAGCCCGAGTCAATCAACTTTTTGACTTCAGCTTTAATTACAACCATGATTTGCAGATGAAACTGTCTTTGCTGTTGCTTAACAGGTTTAGCATTCGAATTGATGTTGAGGCGGTGCATAGCCACATTTGGGTTGAGTCCTGGCATGTCTTCATAGTCCCATGCAAATACGTCGATATATTCCCTGATGAGGGCAATCAACTCCTCTTTTTCTTTTGGTGGGAGACTGTCACTAATGAATATAGGCTTCAAATTTGCATCGTCGCCCATATGGACTTAAGCCACCTTATCCTCAGTAGGAGGTTCCCTTTGCTCGAATCTATCGCCATACTGGATGTTCAAGTGATGGATCCAAGGATCTTCCCAGGTTGGCAACTGATCATCTTCCTCTAATGTTGTAGGGTCAACAGTGACCATGTTTGACATCAAACCTTTGAACATTTCTCCAAGGCCGACGTCAAAATCCCACGTTGAAGAATTTAACGAATATCCATCCTTATTTGGATTGGACAGTTGGTTATTAATCTGCCAGCAACATTTATCAGAGGATGAAGAGATATAGCCTAGACCCCTCTTATGCTCGTAATAATTGTCGGGCTTTCCCTTTGGTACATAGGATGGCCGGGGTGGAACTCGGGTACCTCGATCAAAGCAAAGGCCTTCTCTAAGTGTGAGATTGTACCCCCACTTCTTCTTATAATTGCGTACTTGTGGGCTATATTTGAGGAAATGTTGACCAGGTTCTTCATCATCGGCGCTAATCTCCAAGAAGGGATTTGGTGGCAGACATGACTCCCCTTTACTGAAGACTGTCTCTTTTCCACCCCCTGCCTTTGTAGGAAGGACGTACGTTGTTCCAAACGACTCTTGGAAACACTTCTTCGTCATGCAAGATGATTGAAGCGGCAAATGTATGTCGGTGTTTCTGTACAATCCCTGCATTACATCATCAATACAAGGCACGTACTCTAAATCATCATTTAATTGCATAATTATAATCGGCAAGTTGCCAGTTATAACTCCCATCTGATGATTTACCATCGACAAGATCAATTACAAAGCGTTCTATGTCATTAAATACAAGACCTTCGTCGTAATCGAGCCCGGCTTCGATATCAGCTTCTTCTCCGCTGTTCGTGCCCTGCGCTAATGCTTCAGTATCAGATTTAGCATCATATAAGAGGGAATTAGTGAAATAATTTTCCAATTCCTTAAATGGTTGCTTGTCCGCAACCACCATCTTTACTTGACTATTAGTGTCCATGTACTTCAAACACTAATGGAGTGTGGAAGGAACTATAACATTACTATGGATCCAGGGTCGACCCAATAGTAAGTTATAGGAGGTCTCTGCATCTATAACTTAGCATGTGACTTCAGACTTCAAATCTCCAAGTTGGCACTTCACTCGGATTTTACCCAATGGTCTGGGCCCACTGTGTTAAATCTATAAATAATAGTGTCTGTTGAAGCCAACTTGCTGGTAGGAATTCCAAGATGATATATCAATGGAGTGGCATGACATTGACTGTAGAACCCAGATCAACTTAGATTCGGTTGACCACAGTTGAGCGAATATACCCGGTGAAGTACAAAGGCCTGTCATGCTTCGAGTTCCTCACTTGCATGTCATCCCGAGTGAATGTGATGCAAGAGAATTGTTTGGCCACTAGGTTGCAATGTTGAACTGGTGGTTCTAACTCCTCAGGGGCCTATTTGACTTGAGTAAGGAATGCCTCAGAATCGGCCAAAGTCTCTTGTGGAGCCTCCCTGGTGTCTTTGGACAGACGCTACAACTCGTATAGAGTGATCCTTGCTAGGATGTTAGACAGTTGAGCCATAACATCAAAGCAGTATGGAGCATTCAAGCTTTCTGGTTTGTCTCTCCCAATTGGTCGATTGAAACGAGATGCTTTGGATTCTGAACCTCTTTGTGCTTGGGTTCCTTCTCCTTTTGCCTTGCCTCAGCTTCCTTTTGTTTAATAGTTGACTGCTGCTAGGTCTTCTCAGAAGGCTTAGGAGGTGTCGTAACCACCCCCAGTTCAGCCAGAGTCTTAGCATTCTGATCGGAAACTTTCGGGTATTTGTACCAGTATTCGTTCCCACTCTTGGTGGCAAAGACAGGCTCTCCATCAGCTACCAAGACTTCATGCTCATCTTCTGAGAGTGAAAGTGTTGGGATACCCTCATCATCTTTTTCTGGAAATGCTAAGGCAGGACAACAAGACTTGCCCTTGCTTTTGGACTTCTTCTTGGAGGAGAATCCCACCCATTGTTTATCCTTGAGCAGATCAGGATGGACCCATAGAACTTCTCCATTAGAGGCTGTATGTGGCACAAACCCCTTCTGACGTTGCCCATGTGGGTCATCATTGACAGTCTTCATCTCCACCTTTGAAACAAGTTCCTGTTGGAACCACGATAAAGGTACGGATCCAAAGCTGATAGATACTGTGTTTGCTCCCACCTTGTTCTACTTTGGTGGTTTTGCCATTATGATACTGGCATCAACCAAGGCTTGGATTCTATCTTTGAAGACAAAACAATATTTGGTAGGATGGTGGACCCTTCTGTGATACGCACAGTATTTCGGATCCGAATTCTTTTTAGCCTCCTCCTTGTCCATGATTGGCATCAACTTGATTTTATTATTGTCCAGGAGGTATTTGAAGATGACTAGAACTTCATCATCCTTGAAAAAAATACTCCCTCTGGAATCTTGCATCCGGAGTCCTTTGCTGCCTCTGAGGTTGCTGCTGCGTTTGAGGCTGCAGTTGAAATGATGACTGTTACGCCAAATGGTACTGTGGTTGTTGTTGTGACGTTTGATTTGCATCAACAGCAGTCACCGGTGTCTTTCCCTTACTATGAGGAGTGAAATTGGGCTTTGAAGAATTCGCTGTTGATTGGCCTCTCTTAAGCTTATTTCTTTTAAAGAAGCGTTCCACCTGTTCTCCGTGCATCTTCAATGCCTTCCAAGTTTTAGGTGGCACAACCCCCATGGCTTTAATAACATCCAATGAGAGATTATTATGGCATGTTTGCTGTATCAACTCCTCCGTCACCGAATCCCTTCAATTCATGGCTTTGTTTCAAAGACGTTTGACAAAGTTGTCAACTGATTCTTCGTCTTTCTGCTTCTCATCCAAAAGGGTTCCGATCGACACTTAAGTGTCATCATCGAAGAAGTTGATGAGGAATAGTTTTTCCATGTCATCCTAGCTGTTAATGCTCCCTGGCTTGAGA